AACTACAAACTGATCCAAAAAGAATCAGTCATCAGAACTGACCTTAAATTTTCTCTACTGTTAAAAAGAATCAGCAGTAACAACGCTTTAGTGTTAAGCTCATGTAGCATGGCTAAAGGTATTCTTAAAAATATCTCCTCATTGTTTAATTAGATGTTCAAAAGTCCCAAATGCACACATCTGTTGTCACCAAAGTATACAAAGGCATAGAAACATGAAGAATTCACGAACTAAAATACAAAACTGTCACGTTTTAAAATATTTCATTTGCTATACAGATCCAGGCCAAGAAAGTAATAGAAAATCCCATCTGATACCTCTATTAATGCTTCTCCTAAGCCAGCTGCTTAGGAGTTCTCAAAAGTAGTCAGGGTGATTCATCCTCCAATTTTTCATCCCTCCCTGTGGGGATAGCACCTGGCTCTCCTTCCCGACAACAAAACTGAAATAAGGAATTCAACACAGTGAACTGTATGCATGAATGAACATTCCATTAATTTGTGGCTTAGTGCACAAGAACATCACCGTGTCCCCATTTTGGAATTAAATCCATGTGTTGTGTTAGCATATACAACAAGTCCAAAATGAAATAGGTTAATTTCATTCAGTAAACTTTATCTATGGAGTATAATGCACCTAGGCAGTTTAAGAAAACCAATTAGACCTTATTCTGTGAAGGCTAGGGTTCACATGTACGTGAGATTGACTGCTTCAGGTGGAAAAGATGGCCAGTCTAACCGAGCAAATGGATTAGTTTTGCAGATAGACAGTGATGTTTGCTATTGTGTGTATGAAAGTCTGTAGCTCATTTTTCATGATCCAACCAATTTATTCCAGGCTGTGACCCAACTGGATAAACACTAAGAAAGTTCATTAGCTAATCACCTGCTCCAGAACTTCCAACCTACCACAATTATCCTAGGCTTCATCAATGGGCTAAATCTCACTGAAAACTGAACCAACCGAAATTTGTTGATTTTTTTTCATGATGTGTATATTTGTCTGTCTGCCTTTCACTATCACAGCCATGTCCCAAAGCATGTTAAAATAGCTTTAAGTAGTCAATCATAATTTAGAGCCAATTTCTATTCTCTACAGCATATACACAGCGTCACTAAAAACTTTTCTATCCATTTGAGTTGAGCCTAGTTTGCCATGTTAAGCTATGCAAGTTATATTCTGTATAATATTTATGATATAGATGAATTTGCCATAAACCAGTTCCTTACCCAAAACAATTGGCTGTATACTTATCTTCAGACAAAGCCACCTGCAACTATAGAAACTTATTTGCAAGCAGGTAGAAGTATCCTGGGATAGAAATATTCTTCGGTATTAACAATACAAATGGTAATTCTTACTGTAAAGTACATTAAAATAAATCTGTTTGATATCTGTCTCATGCACTTTCCACTAAGGAGACTTCTGAAAAGGCAGTGCATACATGCACTTTTACTGCAACTTAAATAGCAGTTGATGCAAATGAATGGTTTGTGATGAAAACAGCTATAAATATTCTGGGCTGACTCTTCATGGTATAGTGCAACAAAAAAGAAAACATTGTATTATATTAAATCTTCATTATGCATACTCCCACTGGTGGTCCCAGTTGTCCTACAAGTCAACTATTTCTTTAACCTTCTTCCTCTTATGTGCTACATAGCACTATTTATCCAAATCATGTGACATCATCATTTATCTTGGCATTCTGGTACCTTGTGAAAATAGTCTTTTATAAAAATGTCTATTTGAAGTAGATGAATACCATTTGATCATTTGCACCAGTGAACCATAATTGCATTATGGTTTTGAGGTGCTGGCACCTTTACACTGGGTCTTCGTCACTCTTGTCATCCTCCCTGGAGGATATCCCTGGTTTCCCTATCAACATGGACACAACATCCCAACTGGTTCGTTGATCTGAATGAGATATTTGATGAGATTTTTATTTTACAAAGGAACTTCATGGTATACAGCGCACAATGTTCAGAACATCTAGGGTTTTCTGCTCATCCAGTCAACATTTAATTCTGAAAATTGTCTGAAGATACAAGGTAACGTATCCAATGACTCAACATTACAAGTACAGCAAGATTGAGAGTAATTCATTTCTGCTGTAAAATCAATGACTTATTTTAAAAATGATAGTATCATTATTTGCATATAAAATACACGTGAAGGGTACAACAAACATCTGCTATTCTGTTTCCTTTATACTTGAAATAGATTGTTACTGGTCTGCTACTTAGCTACATTATTGCCTCATTTCACAAAAAAAAAATACAAACATTCTATCCAAGAAAAGCTATATACAGTCTCAGAGATAGTAGGAACTGCAGATGCTGGAGAAACCGAGACAACAAGGTGCAGGGCTGGACGAACACAGCAGGCCAAGCAGCATCATAGGAGCAGAAAGGCTGACGCTTCGGGCCTAGACCCTTCATCAGAAAAGTCTCTGTTCCTTTGGTAATCAAGTACATATTTTATTTTTGTTTGCCAGCATCCATCATGTTTTTACTGTGAATAAGTGGCAATAAAGCAGTGAAACCAAATATTTTATTTTCCTTAAATTTATTAGGGGAAACATGTTGATTCAAATCACATTCACGATACTTGAAACCTGATGTATGCACTTTCAACATACGTATGCTTATCTTTTAAAAACTTGCAAAAATATGTTCTATGAAAGTCACATTCAAGAAAAAATATTTTGATTGAATTTGACATCAGGATTCTTTAAAAAAAATGCCTCATCTGCCTAAATATAATAACAGAACTCAATCTTTCTATTCGTACTGGTCATTATTTCAAATCAAATGCAAATCAAAATTCTCTTTAAGAAACAAATCTATTCAAAGATAGATCAGACAGCATCTTTAAGGGAGTAAAAATGATTTTGTTAAGAATTATTACAGTTGTCATCACCTGTCCTTTATCTTGGATGCTGACTGACCCTATTGCGCATTGCCAAGAATTTTTGCTCGAATTTCACATCTTTTTCTTTAATACAATAGAAGCTGTCACTTTAAATGCTCCCATTATAAAATGAAAAGAGATGAAGATGATTAATCTTTATCTCATTATTTGCTCAGATCTCTCTGAATCATGGACAGTGATCAAAAACCCAACAGAAATTCAGCTTGGACTTTATTTAGTGTTGTGGAGTATTACCTACAATACAGCTTCTTCCTCCTCGAAAAGAAAATTATTGCATTGACCCATAGCAAAAGATCACACTACCGTTAAGGAGTTTGAAAAAAAAAAAAATCAGGTTTGGATGGTATTAGAGCCTACTGACAACGAGCCCCAATAACTTTGTGACTTTGATCACAATACTGGAGGTAGGCAGTCAACCAAATGTGTGCCAGTTTCAAAAGTTGAAAGGAATGAGAGACAATGGACCAGGCATTTTCTGTTTTAATCACAACTTCAGATATCTCGCTTGATATTTCATACTATGAGCATTTATCACAAAAAGCAAATAAGGTAATCTTTTAATTCAATTTATATAAAACTCTTTCCATCAGTCCATCTAGTAATACTAGTTTGCAAGTAATACTTTGTATTTCCAGCCACCACACATGCAACCATTGGTTCCTGGGATAAAAGCAGTTAAAGACAGGTTGTAATTATGGGCAGGACACTGCAAGACGTTTCCCCTTGTGTACAGTGTAGGGATCTTTCACTTAAGATGGAGATAAGGAGGATGTTAAACTTCTTCCTTTCATTGTAACAGTCTAAAAATGGTCAGAATTTTGATCAACAAATGGAGTCAAAGGTTATAGGTAAGTGAGTTCAGACCACAATCAAATCAGCCATAAACTAAATGGTGCAGCAGACTGGAGGGGTTGAACGGCCAGCTCGCATTTCTTATGGCACCCACATGTACAATTTACCAAAACAGACCCAGCCATCTATAACAGATGGTCACCATTGAAGGTTATATAAAGACTAGTACAATGTAGTTTCCTACTAGCCTACAAAACGGACTGCTTGTCTGTTTTTTTTTCCCCTTAAGTGTTGCTAAATGGTTTCCTAAATTTGCTCCAAGTCCGTGGTATTCGGCCAATTCAATCACAGCCAAGCACGGGGAAAAACAAACAAACCCCAGTTTGCTCAACTGGCAGCCCTGTCCTGGCCAGTAGCAAGAATGTAATCACACCAACTGATCCTTATCGGTTCCAGTCCCTCAAAACGTGCGGGTGCTGACCGATATTCCGGTCCAACCTAAATATTTGTTCAAAACCAAGAGAAAGTAGAGTTGGAGACCTTCCACAACGATATTGTTGAAATTCACCTCCAGGAGAACGAAATTGAAAAGACAGGCAGAAAATAGGGAGCCAGTATGAAGAGTAGGAAAGTAGGACATGGCCATGTTCCGGATAGTTCGAGATCAACATCTCTGTAGAATTTGAGCGCCCCCTATTTGCCTATAAATAGTTTGAAAATACTCATATGCGAAATTAACAGTATTTTTTCAGAGGACAAAAGGAAATGCGCCACACGTAATTCCCATATTTTACATCTTCCAGCTTTTTCTTCTGGGTAATTTTCTCCAAAATATTACTTCAAATTGGGTAAGAACATATGCGAAGGAGCAGGAGTTAATGTTACTGATGGAGCAGGCGGCATATCAGTAAGAAAACAACTCAGACCGGTATAAGCAAGCCATCCTGTCCACCATTCGAAGGGGGTGCACGCGGTTTAGGGTTACGGACCACAGGCTATGGGGTCAGCTTCCACGAGGATTATATCGGTGTCCGGGGAAACAACATAAACCAGAGTGTTAATTTCCGAGTTTATTCCCAATCCTCCCACTCACTACCGAAGAAATGTGCTCCCAGCCCAGCCACACAAGTTATTCCAAAACACAAAAAAAACTACGGAGATCCGGAAATAAAAAAAAAAGTGTTCGAGAAATTGGTTCCCAGAGCCTAAACCTTAAATCAGTTCCTCTCTTTCTGCAGATACTAAATCTGTTGAGTTTCCCGAGCACTTACTTCCAAAATATGTTCGATTTGAAAGACAGGCATGGCTTAAATTATCGCTGATAAGGAGCACTTCTAGTAAATAGCCTATGTTATTACGGCCCCCATTTCATAAACACCAGAGCAACAAAAGTGTTCCTCGCGAGTAAATTCAGAGTTGGTCCATTGTCTGAACATATCCCTTATTTTTGTAAAAAGTACCAGATTTAAAACCGTTAACTTTTCTTAATGCTCTAGACAAGGTGGGACACGTGTTGGAGTACATTGCTCCTAAAATCGGGTAGCGTAAAGAATGTATTCCTCTCGCCTGAAGGAGAGTACTTACAGGAATCGGTGAAGTTGTGCAGTATATTAGCTGTGGATTCAATAATATCTCCCTTGGCAGTACGGCATGTGATAGAGTTAACAGCTGGCGAACGGGGTGGATCATTACACCTGTAGGCGGACTCTCCTTATTCGCTGTTTGTTAATTTACCACAAACCAGGCCAATTAGTATAGAGACATGGTCAAGGCGGGTGGAAGGTTCCTCGCTTAGATTGCACTAAATGATACAATTGTGTCTTCAGTGCCAAAAGGGAAACTCGGTTTGCCTGATATCAACCCTTGAAGCGCAAAAGGACAATGTAGAGTCCTCGCAATCCAATTTGTTTCAGAGTCAGTAATTAAAGAGGAGAATCTTTAGTAGGAGGCGTTGCAACAGAATGCGTGGGAACAGCTTCACTTCAGCAAATGCTGTACAGAAAAGACTTGCAGATGTTTCACGAGAGATAATAGCTACCGAGTGAGATGTGCTTAAATAAAGCAGTTTTTTTTTTGAAAAAAAAGAAAAAAGTTTAGGGAATGAGTGAATCGGGTATTGTAGTTTGGAGGCTCCATTTTTCCATAGTTTGCCAAGTAGCTTGCTGCACCTTTCCAATCCAATGCCAAAATTAATTCAAGTGAAATGTATTGTTTTGTTGGCTTCCTCCCACACTCTCTAGCACGGCCTGAAATACCTACAGACTACGGATTTCTTGCAAGTTACCGATAGAGACGCTTAAAAATGCATTTCACTTCTCACCGTCTTACTTGGAGTCGGTCATACAGTGGATGCAGAATTAATTTTGAAACTAGAGATGTGAATTTGATGTTAAACACTATTTATACGCATCTAAAAGCTTTATGGCCACACTTTTAAGCATTTGCCATCGCACCAGTGACCGACGGAGAGCACAAGCTAGATTGGCTTTTTTTTAAAGACAAGAGTGAATATTGCGAGTAATTGACGCTGCCAGTTGAGAAATGTAACAGAATACGCCGCTGCTGCTGCTAGGCAGATGGAGATGATTGGTGATAGTGGATGCTTGTTTTCCCCCAACACCCCTCCCCAAAAAAAACTGTACCTAAGATGAAATGCGACCATCCGCACTGTACTTCAATTTTTTTCTGAAAATATGGCGTACTGTTTTAAATTGACAACTAATCCACAAATGTAGCCATCGGTTCTGCGGTTGTCTGCAAACTTTACGACAATCTTAAAAATGCAAGCTCTAGCCAAATGTACAAGAGAGCATGGTATCTGCAGTAACTTATGGAGAATCGAGTCGAGGCGACCTGCAATACGGAGGCATCTACAATGTATCCGGTTGGGTGCAGGAATTTACGGCATTAAAATAAAAGAGACACGGGAGTTTATGTAATACATGGGGAAATCTTACCCAAACCTCCCGAAATGATCTGCTGGTCCCGATGTCAGCAAATGACACCTTTGATGATTACAGCGCCCACTCAGCGAAAATGCAACCGGCTTCTCCTCCAATCTCAGCTCTTAAACAGCGACCAATTTTTAAAAGAAAAATCCCCTTCCCAAACGTGCCAAATTCACCACCAGGGTAATACTTCCATATGCACTTGCATTTCCTCTGGGATCACAGCTTCATGTGTCCTGAAAGTGACCAGTTTGCTTGCAGCAGCGGCTGAGACAGAAAGAGAGAGCAAGAAGAGACACACACGGACACACAGTGCAAGAAGTCCGCAAGCTCTATGACAGGGCGTCGCGACGGCACAAGGGGACGTGGTTTTCCTTTCTCAACCATCCCATGGTTTGAAGTGCACGCTCCGGCAGCCGATAATGGAAGCTAGGAGAAGCTGGATCGACACTTGCACAAGCGGCTTTCAAGCTTTTTGCGCTGCTACCGCTGTGAGAATGCACCGAGCTCCCGCGGCGCAGCGAGATCTCTCAGGTCCTAGCGCCCGCCGCAGCATCAACTGTGAAATCATCCCAACCTTTTCAGGGCAACGGAACGGATTGGAAACGCCAAGCACCACGACTTCTGTTTAACTGCCGAGACCGTTCTGGACTGATGAGCGCATGAGAAGATAGCCTACATTAAAAGGATGTACCGGCGTGCAGAGCTCGGGTCTAACGCTCCCAGTTATTACATTGACTTGTCCTCACTGCCGCCCACTGGAGATCCCGAAGACCAATAACGCTGGCTCGTGTTCAGCACTGATTCTGAATTGGATCCTTATCGGCGGGATCCCACTGAGCCTTGTTCGGAGAATCCTCTCGCCAAATACCAAATGCACTTCAATTCTTTGGATTTACTTTTAATACATTGTGTTTTTTTTTTAAATCTAATTCCTAATTCTTCCTTGCTATAGCGAGTTTGCTACAGTGTGAAGTCCTTAACAAAGTTTTCCCCACGGCTGCGGATGAACTAAAAGGCCGCTATAGACCGAAAATAAATGCGATCAGAATTTCGATGAAGTGGCATTCACCAGATGAAAGAGCTCTCAGTGGGGAAATCCGTTCTGTTGACAGACTCTGCTCTAGAGCCGCAGTCTGTGGAAGGAAAGGAACTCCTTAATATCTGCCACTCAGTGCTCACATTACAGGAGGTAAATGTGAAGCAGATTAAAGCCAATGTGCTTTCAAACGGTGTCAGGTGAATCTACTGCGTACGGTATACAGTATAGGGAGGGTACAATGGTACCTCGCTTTTAGAGAAAATATAATCTAACGTGATCTGAACTGACTCACATGAGAGATGATATGAAAATGTGTTTAATGATGTGTTTATGATGTGTTTAATGAAACACAGAGACATTCAGTTATTGTCATTGTATTTTCATGAGCCCGTGCGTACCTAGAACTGTACGAATGACGAATCCAATTGACTAGTTCCTACTTATATTTTGGATGTTGTTGTTCTGCAGTTTTAAAGCGTGTTGGGGACTGTTATCACCCCCACGTACACACACACACACACACACACTTTACCCGGCAGCGTGCCAATTGAAGTCACTGACTGAGCAACAGCAGGACAGGAGCACCAGGGAATACAATCCATACCTGGCGACCTTTTCAACTGCAATTAACCACGCACTATTGATTCCTTTCAAATTTGCTTTTGATCAATTTTAATCCGTAGTGAAGTTTATTCCCTCCCAAAGAGGTCTCGTAATTTTGATGAGGTTTTGCCTGTCAATCAGACAGCCTACAGTCAACATCTCATTTTCACGGCAGAGGTAATTAAGTAAACAGTGATAATGGCAGTCAAAGCGATGGACTCGTGGCGCTAATGGTAACATGTGAGATCGAATGTTCTTCGATAAAGGACTTAGTGCCGTGAAAGTGATGGTTTTACAGGATGTGAAATCAGTGTCGGCCCTGAGTCTGAATATCTGTCAGGGTTAAAACACTGCTGTTTTGCCACATATGAAGAGAAGATTCCAGACTGCATCTTAAAAATTCTCTCATGGTTCCGAAATCCATGGGGAATATTTTATGTCGCTCCTGTGTTACACATAATAATGCCATCAGATGAGAAAGAAACAGGATAAGTCTTGAATTTAGCATGACCCCGACGTTCTGTTACTCTGGAAAAATGCCCAGACTTGGGTGTGACATATACCTGACAAGTAGAGTCGATTGAAAGAAGTGTTTGCTGACTTTTTTTTTTACATTGTACACCTGCATTTATTGGGGAGTGTAGGGTAAGGTGTGTAGAATGGTGTTTCGCTATTATGCCCCGGCTTTGAAGTAATATCAGCAACTGTGCTAAGACGGGGGTATTTTTCAGAGCACTGTATAGGGAGCTGCGTCAAGGTATTAGTATTGTGGGAATATCGGCAGTTTGGAGGGGTTAAGTGTGAATTTCTTGAATACTTTTTTGGGGGAGGTGGGCGGGAAATCGTCATTGAACGGGTACAATTAAGGTTTTCAACGATGAAATCGAATAAGGAGCAATGATCAAATGTAGATGGCGTTACAATCGAGCAGTTCTGGGATTCCAGAGAAAATGTGAATATAGAGTGTTTCCAGTTGCGTAACGCGCAAACTTTGGAAATTTAGCTCTATATGATGAAGGTTGTCTTAAGTAAAAGCAGTGCGAATGATTCACAACGTCCACTTCACCATTAACGCTGAAAACTGACAGTTGATTAAATTAATTCATTACAATCTGCTCTAAGGAAATAAATATTTTAACTAGCTCTGAATGGTCTAAACTTTCTGTCTTCCTGAACTGCTCATCTTGGGGACCATCGTGCAAGGTATTTTGGTTTCTATTGAAAGCCAAACTTGTTCACCGTATTAAGAAGATCACATATTGATATATATTCAGCCCATTGTTGTCCATATCCGATGAATAAATTAAATAAAATGAACATAAAGGCGTGGATTGTTATTGGGTCTTCGTGAACTGCTAGAATTTGTCATCATTTATCACCATTCTGAAACTGACAGTCTGATTAGAGTTAAACACTAAATAACATAAATCCTTTTATTAATTCATTAATAGGATTTGGGTGTCACAAGTGTACAAGCTAGTATGGTCCTTCCCCAGTTTATCATCGAGAAGGTTATGATGAGTTGCCTTTTTGAACTGCAGCAGTCCATATGGTGCAGGGACACCCACAGAGCTGTCAGGAAGGAAGTGTCAGGATTTTGACCCAGCCAACAATGAAGGAATGGCAATGCAATTCTAAGTTAAGATAATGTCTAGGTTGGAGGGGTACTTGCAGGTAGTGTTGATCTCTTACATCTGTTGTCCTTGTTCATCTTGCCGCTAGAGGTTGGGGGTTTGGAAAGTGCTGTTGAAGTGAGTTG